TGACCCTTTCCACTGATGTGGAAAGTCAACCTTAGTAGCTTTAGCATTTTATGGTTAAATCTCACTAAAAATTCACTTATTCACACTTGAGAAATTGAATCTTATAGCAGTCAAATTGCTTAGTTAACTAAGTAAAAATTATAGTTCCAAGAAGTTTCTTTCAAAAGACAAGTCTAGTATAATATAACCAAACTTATCCCGTTTTGGTTTATTTTTACAATTACAATTTGTAAGGGAGAGTCACATTTTTCAATACTGAACAGTGAACATCCACATTGTAACACTACTGTCCTAATTCCTTATTGGTTTACAAGGAGTCTAGGGTGTTAGGTTTATTCTGACACAATAAATTGATTTCCTTCGCATCTTTCTTGATTTTAGTGCTGATATTATTGTAGCTTGAAGGGGGAAATTATAATTCTGCTATGTTCACATTTGTACTTTTCATGATGGTGTTGGGCAATGCAAGAACTAGTGTTGTGGGTGGGTTAGGACAATTAGACCGTGGTAGCATGTTTGGCTCTTTAAAGAGAGGGCAAGAATTAACTATCCTCCAAAATTCTGATACCGATAATGCAATCTCAGGTGCTAACTCATTTTATTGAATCTGTCCAAAACAAGCAGAATCCTTACAATTAGATTTGTGATCTGCTTCCACATGATTTATTTTCCTTTGACAGAAAAAGGGACCTTTGCTCCAACAAAGCTGCTGCAGCTTCCAGTGGAAACCATAATGTATCATAATCACTCCCTTTTATGGTCCAGGATATGTAGTTTAGTTGCATGCGGATCATTCAGCACTTCTAAGAAAAAGCCTTTTTGTTTTTGAATCGATTTAGCCCACCCTTTTGTTTGAGACAAGTGATCTGCTACATCCCTGTCACCTCTGTTTTTGGTCTTTCCCACCCATAACTTTCTTAAGAATTTTATTATATGCAAATATTTTCAATTCATATTCATAGGGATGATAATAGATACGATTTGGATACGAGACTATTGTATCTGTCTTCGTAACCATGTTATAAAAATATATCTGTACTCAAATCTAAATTAGTAGCATTTTCTATACTCATACTCTTACTTGTTAAGTAGTACCTACATACCCATATCTTGATATATTATTGGCATTTTAGTTAACTTGAGTATGATTCCAATTATGTGCTTACATGACAAATTAATACAACATAAATATCATTGATAAAAAAACTAATAAAAGAGTATCGATTAAAAGTAAAAATATGTAACTTAAATGAAGAAATTATTCAAAGAAAATTCAATTCCTAATTATAAAGCATTAAGACTAATTTTTTAACACAAAAAATTATTTAATAAATTTTAATTTTTAGTTAAGAATATAATAAAGATATTATATAAATGTGTTAAGTAGGGTGATGTAGTACCCACATCCGAACTTACTTGATGGAAAAATTTCCTATTTATTATGGGAAATATTATGGGTACCCATAATAAGGTTTAACACATAAAAAGTATTAAAATAAAAACATTAAAGATTTTTAAGCTCTCATCGTTTATTATGTTGTACTTTTCATTAGTTTTCCTTATTATTTGATTTCATAACAAATATATTTAATTCACTCATTAATAAGATTATTCTTATTAAGAAAATAAAGATAAAAAAAATAGTGTAAAAATGGTGTAAAGAAAACGTGTTAATAACATTATTGCATTATTAAATACTTCCGTTCAATCCTTGTATCCCATTCTCCTCTAAAATGAAAATGATAAACATGCAAAGGAAAACGTAAGAGAAACAAAAGTAAAACAAAATAAAATAGAAAGTAGTGCAAATTGCAAACAATGAAAAAAATTTGAAGTTAATGCTAAGATTTAATGATTTTGTCCAGTGATTAATGTTTCTCAGATTATATTGCACAATCTCTAGACAACTGCTCGTCTAGCTGCTCAAAGCTTTTAGTAACGTGAATTTCATATGCTAAGAGCATTTGATCTCTAATATTTTCATTGATCCAGCGGACCACAAGTGAATCGTGGCTCTTCAATCTAGATAAAGCCCACAGACATAGCTACAAAAGCCCATGAAAAGAAAGGGAGACAAAGGGCTTTATAGTATCAATCTGAAAAGCTAAGGAATCTCCACAGTACATGGACCACGAAGAGTCATCTTTATTAGACTTATTATCAAAAAATGTGTCATTCATTATATGTTTGTTTGGAAATATTTAGGAGCAGACCCTTTATGTTCAATCTGTACAAAGCATCTGACACCACTGACACCATCACCACGTAACACCTCATTTTCACCATGCCTATGTTAAATAATGCACTATGCCTATATATTTGCCTGAATAAGAGTTAGATTTCAGTTATTGAACTAATTTTCAGATTTAGCAGTTGCTTTCATGACTTTAAAAGGTTTGAATTGAGTTTCATTAGGGCTTGCAATTAATAAATTGATGTTGTACTTCACTATGCATGATATTAACAACTAAAGTGAATGTTTCTGTTAATTAACGTATTTTTGGATGATTCATGACATTTTATGCTCATTATTTGTCCTAGTTTAGGATGCTGTTGGGAAATAGGATATTCATGAACAATTTTATTTATGAAAATTTTATAATGTAGGACCATATGTACTAACTGATTTTGGCCTTACCATTTTACCTTCTATTGAATTGATACATAGATGCAACCAAATGGAATAGCAGTCCAATAACGTTAATTGTACTAATAATCAACAGTGAAGTGTCGTTCTCACCGACAAATAAAATTCTTAAAAGCCTGAAAACTTGTCCTTGTGTATAGATAGGCAATTACGATTTGGATTTTGTTTTTATTCTTTATATAATACTAAGATATCTTATAGTGGCCCATATAAACATAAAAGTACCACAATGCCCTCATTTACATATTGGAGTAGTGGTTTATAAAATCAACGAGCGTGGAAAAGGACAGCAATTACCAGGGTTAATATTATTAAGATTGACCTTTAAGCATTGCTTTGACAGTGATCATGCCTCAGTAGCTCTAGAAAGTAACTGTTCTTCTGACCCTAGGGAATACATTTTATCTAAGGAGAGTGATTGGTGAATGATTATTAAGTTGAAAACATAAAATAAAAACTTGTAGTCTCAAGAGGTTATAACTACAAAGCATCTCTTGTATGTGTGCTTAATATGATATTGTAAGTGAAGTTCAATATGTATTAGATGAGTCTATAATCACTTGAGTATTTGTAAACGCTCTTGTATATGTGTTGATCAAACTAAGTCAATAAATCAAATTTCAAGTGTGTAACGATTCAGTGTTTACCTTTCGCTACCAAGTCTCCTTTATTTCCTTAAAATTATATCTCTGGGGACTAAGTTCCTCTTTGGAAAACCTTTGAAAGTTGAAAAGATTGATAATTGATGTAAAATAATAAGAAAAGGGGTTTAATTTATTGACAAGAAGATTCAGATATGATTATTATAATTTTGTATACACACCAGTGGTGGATTTTGAAGAGTGATTAGAAGTAAAGTAGTTTCTTTCTTCTGATTCAATAAAAATTGTGAATTTAGTAGTAGCATATAAAATGTCAAAGTTATTTAGGATCCAAACTAAGTTTCAACTTCTACCTACTTAACTTGGAGGTTTAGAGAGTAGAAAGGGTACAAAGTGCCTTGAAGTTGTTCCCTTTGGGTGGAGTGTGGCACATTTGGATTGATATCTTTACCTGTCTCTCATTTTATGGACATGATAGTCATTCTTCAGTGTGGGAATTTTCTAAAGGGACTTTCACTGACAGATGCTTGCACGGACTGAAGACTCAGCTAACACTTTGTTTTCTTTTTCATATTTTGTTGTTTCTTTCGTGATATTTTTCATACTCTCCAAAATTTACCTAGTAAGGCGACGATTATTTTAAACTTTTATAAGTTCTATTTTCTGTATTGATGTAAGATTTTAACACTCCTCCTTACGCTTAAGATTAGATAATTCAAGCATAAATTGTAAGAATTTTTTATTTTTATTTTTATTTTTAATATTGCATTAGGAAAGTTGTGGGGCCTTGAACATTCTACTGAGGTTATCATTTGTTTTCTCCACCAATTAAATGCCTATATTTGGTTTAGTTATTGATCTCAACATAGTAGTGTTTTTAGCAAAACATGGTTCACATGCTTCAATATAATCTGGATGGTAAAGTCAGCTACCTAAGAGATGTGGACACAAGGAATACATCAAAGCCTTTGAAAAGTGAACCACGCTTCCACATTTCAATTATAACAACACTTAACTAACCAACATTTAGCCATTTATGATCAATTTGGATGTGTGTGTATATGTAAAGCATATCTAGTGAGAGGAGTTAATGTTAAAGGTCAAAATTATTTTATTTAACTCGAATATTAACTTCATTTTGGTTTGGTTATATGGTAAAAATTATCTCATCTGATATACTTCATAGCATTTACATGAGAGTATAAGAGGAGCTAATTTTGACTAATGACCATTCAATCTTTCATTCATAATTATGATTAACTGCTCTCACTTGTTACATTATTATTTGATATACCTCCAATATGATAAACAGTGTTAAATGATAAGAACAAGAAAGAAAGGAAGAGGAATATTCAACACTCCAGCTTGTTAGGTACAGAAGGCACACCGTTCCATTCATGCAACTTTCACAAAATATGGACATGTACATGCTACACTATGACAAGCTATTGAGAAAGCTTTCATAGTTTGGATCCAAGGGGACACAAGTCAGGAAGCACATGATGGTAGAAAGGGGCTACTGTCAGCAAGAACACACAAAAAACACTCATAAGAGGGAGAAAATAGAAGTTGCAAGTGCCAAACTCTCTTTTCTGTCTCTCATGTGTGTTTTGACTCTTTCTATGAAGTAAAAAGTGTAAAAGAAGAAAACAACACACAAAAAGAAAGGGAGGGATAACATAACTAGATAAGATAAGCCTCTTTCTTTGTCCTCTTGTTATTGTCAAAGGGCCCTTCTTCTTTGTCTCTTCTCATAGAGCAAAAGAAAGAGATGCAACTATGTGAAAGAACTGTAGTTGCTCTAATAACTCTTTGCCATGGCTTGTGGCTCTATGCTCCACTCTCTTAAACAGCTCCTCACTAAGCTTGTCACCAATGTGAGCATCAACAAGGACACCAGACACACTCCTACAGCTGTTGGCAAGAGCCCTTCCTACTTCACTAGCATCATCTGGCTGGTTCACCACAAGAGGGCTTCCCCCTTTGAAAACCTCAAGCTTGTTTATGGCAAATGAACCATCTGCTTCAACCACCTCCTTGAAGTCTTGCAGGCTTGGTGCATAAACTGGAATGTTAAAATTGTCTCTTTTCTCACTGCTAATTAATCCCTGTTATTAAGCATGTGATTTAATCCATGTACCTTATACATATCAATGCATGAAAGGTGATACTAGATGCTTTAATTGGTTGAAAAAGCTTAAAAGATACAAATGACCATTCTAAACCCAAGTTAGAAACAGAGAACTAATGACCTCAAACTAGATTAAGTTCGGTAAGTGTTGCACTTGTTAAAGAATTAACTAAAAGAATGAATAGTGTTTCATGAAAAGTATAACGTTTAATATGTTGAAAACAACTTTAAAAAAATCATGTTCATTTAATATTTTCTGTTTTAAATTATTAATAAGCACTCTAATGGTCTAATGGTAATGGTACTAGTTAGTAATTACATTAGTTTTTACTTTTAATGAAAACGGTTTACTCAACAGAAGTGATCAATTAGAAAACCACCGTTTTATGCTTGAAGGCCATTCTCACATAATATTGAGTCCTATTATGATGGTATCATTATTTCATGTACTCTATTAATTACAGTATTGGATAACTAACATCTCTTGGTAGAACATAATGTAGATGAATTTGGTTCTGTTTAAAAAGACAGTACTTTTGGGTCCCCTAGTCTACAAATCATTAGGTAAAAATGGATCAGAGACTTGTTGTCTTGCTTTAGGTTATGATGATGATTTTGTGTTCTAAACATCCAAAACCTAATTGTTGGGTAATATTGTGCTAGCCAGAAGCTAATTATTATTTCTGCCGACATGATGATGATTGTATGGATGGCTTGAACAAATTGGGGTGGCCAACAAACGGCTGAGATTAATTTGTTTCAATGATGACAACAAGTGAATTTGATCATAATAATAATGAATACGGTTTCTTAACGTGTATCTAAAAAATACAATAATAATAATAAGTTATGGTGACACCTACAAGAATTGATTATTTATGTTTTCTATATTCCTCATGTATCTAAAAGTCCTTTTTGGCATAGCAATGACAAATGTATGCACTACGAGGTTGTGATGTTGCACTGTTTGACACAGAAGCACGCATAAAAATGTTAGTGAATATGATAATTACCTCTTGGACAAGATCATCCCAAGCATCCTGAAAGTGGGTCCCAAAGAGGAGACCAGCCCCACCTTGGTCTGTGGGGTCCACTGAAGTTCTGCCTAAGCAAACCAAAAACATGGACCCCCCTCTCTTCAATTCCACAGACCTTGACCTCAGAAACCCTGCCAAGTCTGTTTGGAATTGTTTCTTGTAAGCATTTGCTGTGATCTCACCAGCACCATGGATGAACACCCTTCCCTTGTTGTGTGCACTTGATCTCTTGTCCATCACAGATTCTGGTACCTGGGTCCCAAACCAAAATTATAAATTTAGGATCATTATTTTAAACTTTAGTAAAATTAATTTCAAACATAGATTTTTTGTTAAAACGTGTGCTGTCGTAAAAAAAAGCTTAAATATTTTTCTGTCGTTCAAAATATAATAAATTTTAAATCTTCTCTCTGTATATCTCTTTGCTTTAGTGTCTACATTTTTTTAAAAAAATATGATGTGGTTAACTTAAATGTTGTCATATGTCATTAGTACTGAGAGAGATCAAAATCAATAATTTTAAAAAAAATAGAAGCTAAAACAAATTAATTATAAAGACCAGAATAAAATTTTAGTATCTTTTTAAGAAACTAAACATATTTAGACCTTAAAAAAAAATATAAGAATTGATTTTCTGACAATAAAATAAATAAACACGTAGTGCAGTTCAACAGAAAAGCAAGTGTCGCTTTTGGTAATTAATCAAACCCAATAGGCCCCAGATACTAATAATTATTTAAAAATCAAAATGCATGGAGTTGAATAAGATTATGTGATTACTATCCATGCATTCAAAAATAGTCCAAATACGTCACCATGTCCCTGAAACAAGGTTATTTTTTATTTCAACTCTAGAGACAATAATTTTGTTGCTTCAACTTTTGACCATAATATATGACTTTACCTTCAAATTAATGCATTACACATGTAAGGGTTTTTAATGTTATCCTCGGGAAGTGGCAAATTTGTTTTTCTTCTTATTTTGCCGTAGAAATTACTACATAGAGACTACATAGATTCTTTGAGGGTGGTGGGGGTGTGAATGAGACATTGAAAGTCATATAAAAGAGTGAAAATGGTTAAAAGTTGTTTAACAAACTAACGTAATCGTTATTCACCAAAAGTTTTCAAGAAATTTATGGTACCTTAAAGTTGGAATTCTAATCAAAAGCTTTATAAAAGAAAGAAAAGTAATAGCATGATTTGAAATCTACTTAATATGTGTAATTTCACTGGTTCAGGTGGAATAAAAGGTTCAAAAACAAAATGATCCATTTCATGAAAGATATTAGGATTAAAAATGAGAATAATTTGATGTTGCCTTTTTCTTTTAAAACAAACATAACAAAAACAAAACAGGAGTTTGAGATAATTACTTTTCCATCAATAATGATTATTTTCAAATATAAGAACATCAATAGAAGAAAAAGACAAAAATAAAGAGGTATAGATATCAATTAATGACAAATTTTATTCATATAACCTTTTTCTATAATTAAGAAAAATAGAAATAAATAAAAGAGAAAATTATAGAATAAAATGAGTGATATAATATAAATATATATATACAAAATATGTGTAAAATCAATATAATTCTCAATTACCTGAGATAACCAATGCAAAGAAAAGGCTGAGTGGAAAACATCAATGGACCTCGCTGGAAAAAGCCTCCGGTAGAAAGAGCCGGGGACGCCGGCGGCGAAGTAGGAGCGGTGGTTGTTGGCGGCGAGGCACTCTTCCATGCTAACACCATAGTTGGCTAGTGGAGGAAGGAGCTGGAAGAGGGTGTTGAAATCATTGCTAGGAAGGTCTGAGAAGAAAGCTGAAAATTCAGGAGGGTCTAATCCTAAGGCCTCATAGCGTTTGATGATGTGCTTGATGATCACATCCACCACGTTAATGGTATTGCTACCACATGAACACCCCAAATCCACAACCACAAATGGGATATTAGGGGCTTGAAGTTGAACTCCATCTAGTGATTCTTTGAGAAGGTGAAGCATGGACCTGGCATGTATGGCCTGCATACATATATTATATATCATAAATCATCATTTGTTATTTTAGTATATTTAGAATATTTTTGAGAGATTTTATGAGAGGGTTAATTTCATTATGACTATTATATGTTATTTTAGCCTATTTTAATTTTTTAATATAATTTATTAAAATATATTTTTTTCAGTTGTTTCAGTAAGTCTGATCATTCACATAAGTTTTAATTATGCAATAAAATTTAAATTTAATTTAAATACACTATTTTGTTACACTATTATTCAATCATAGATTATCATAAATTATCATATTAGCATGAATAATTGATTATAGTAATAATTAATTTAAAAGTAATTGTTAAAATATTTTAATCAAAATATTTTCACTAGTTAAACTCAAAAATTTATTAAAAAATGCTTGGCTAGATGTTTACTTAAATACACCCATAGTGTGTATTTAGTTTAACATATGTTGAAAAATAGTCATTTTCATTCTGTAAATATATATACATATACATGTGTACACACACATATATATATATATATATATGAAAGAAAAAGTATTTGTCATATTCCATACTTTGTTGGCTAGATGCTGACTTTGGAGGCATCATATTGTTTGTGTAGAGAGAGAGAGAGAGAGAGAGAGAGAGAATGGAGGAGGAAGACCATGATGAATTATTGAGGAGTTAGAAGGATATAGAAAGAAAAGAGGGTACCTGTGCTTGGGAATTGTTGGCATAGCTGCTCTCTCCTTTGCCTCCTTTCATGCTAAGCAATCTTTCAAGCTCCATATTGGACACTACAACATTGTCTCCCATGGAAGCAATAGCCTTGGTGAAAGGAAATGAACTAGAAACCAAATGAAGAAAGAGAGTGCAAATGCGTGTGCATATATATATCTATTATATGGTGGTGGAGTTTTCTATAGGTTTCTACCTATGATATCTAAAATGAGAGACAAGAGAGTTAATATATATAGACAAAGGAGAGAAGGACTGTTATCAATTATGTCTGCTTCTATATTCTATAGCCTCCTTGCTTCTAGCTAGATACAAAGGGGAAGTAAGTAGTTAGTAGCAAAAGCAGCAATTATTATGCATTATTTAAAGAAGAAACCAAGTATAATAAAAGAAAACACAGGAATAATTCAAAGCATAGATTATGGGCCTCACATGCAACAAGGAAGGCCCAAATTTGCGCCGGATTTTTATTTTTAGAGGCACCAAGAAACTCACTGAAAATGGCTATACAAGATTGAATTACCCTGTTTTCCCCTTCCTTACACTGCAAATAAAATGAATAAATAACCTTGCAAATATGTTGCACCACTCTTTAATTTGGACCCTTTTCTCAACCCATGGTTTGACTTGTTTTATAACCCAAACTATATAAATATCAGCATCATAATTTCAATCAATCTTATATTAAATTGTAAATTGAATTTTTATTCAATCAGTCACGGTTAACTTTCTTCAGTTTCCACCAAATTGGATTAATTTAATGAATACAATTTTCTAACCTATCAGAAACAATATTCATTAATGGGACAAAAAATCCTTGTCTTACAGATTGCATGTATTTGGGCATTAATATATCGATTTTATTGCATGACATTATTATGAATAGAAATGTTGTATAATTTATTGATTAATTAATCAACAGAAAGGACGTCACTGAAGATATCTTTTATATTTTATTTAACTTTGAAGGAGGCATCTTTTTCGGTTCTTGTAAAGGAGCCATTTGATTTTGCTAAACAAAAAAGAACGTCTGAGAAAAATGGTATGAGAGAAGAGGAATGGCTAAAGTTTAGGCAAAAGGACCTAATTAAGATCAATCTTGGATACCAATAAGAAATTATATCACTAGACTTAACGACACTTATGTTCAGCTGTGATAAGAATGTTTTATTATCAATTATGTCACACTTTTTTTTAAAAGAAGTATTTTTTTAATACTTCAATTATTAATTAAAATTTCATATTGGTTTGGACTCATTATGGTGATCATGTTACCATGAAATCTTATCCAATACCAAAATAGTATTTATATTAAAAAAGATATTAGTGGTATTCTGGTGTTTGGACATTACTACTGTATCAATATTTCTTCACTTGAATCTAACTCACACACGCCAAGGCCAATAAAACAAAGGAGAAAAACAATGAAGTCAATGGATGAAGCTACTTTAATGGAAGAAGGATAGATGACCTATATAGTGGAGCTTCAAATATTCGACATCATTATTACACCTATGTTTGTAGACTTGAGTTCTAATAACGATTACTAATTCCTTGCCTAATTTACTAATTTGTAAACCTAGTTTTTATTATTATTTCTAAGCAAGTTGGTTTAGGAATATGTTGAATTTTTTAAGTTACAGAGGTTGACAAATTAAAGTGAAACTTAACTCATTAGTTCTCTTCTTTAATTTCCCCTTTCTTAATGTGGATACATGAGTAAGAGGAAATTTGACTCAACTAAAATAAATTATTCATTTTAAAGATAAATAAAAAATATATATATATAATCATTAATTTTTTTGAATTTATTAAAATTATACATGTGTGTGTGAGAGAGAGGGATAAATTGTAAAATCAATAAACAACGTGTTTGTGATAGAAATTAAGACATTATTCACACTAATCAAGTTTTGACTATACCTTAACTTTTTCATTTTTGTTAACTACTGTTTTAAATGATTGGTTAGCAAAAGACTAGTAATGAAAATGAAAATAAACCATTCATTATTGCTTCTTAACTTTATTCCTCTTTAACATGATGCATTTAATTGGGATGTATAATAACAAGTTATTTATGTATTCATTTTCTTTAAATAACAAATGTTCATATATTCATGGCAAATGCTATTAGTTGCACATTAGAATTTCTCATTTATCCACATATGTTGAACTGAAAAAAAATGCTAAAAAAATCAAATTTCTGTTAGAATAATGAACTAATTAATAAAACATTTCCAAATCAATATCTGTAGTAATATATGTGGAAAAAAAAATTGTGTAACACCTTTGTAATCATATTCTACTTCATAGTTTGTGTGAATTATAGAGGCAGTAAAGTAAAAAGATTTTATAAAGGTCTTAAATTTTATTCAAAGGTAATAATTCATATGTGGGTCCAAAATAAATCATCTTGTTTATATATATAATAAGTAATGTGCTGGATCCAAATTACTGTAATCTAAATCAATACATACTGAAGATAATTCATCATCATTAAGAGTAACAATTCCTTAGTCTACTTTTCATCACCTTCAAAACTCAGAATTTGCTTTTCGTATTTTTTAAAAATATCTTTTTAATAAGCAAAATTCTAAGCTAGTTAAACGTTATATATTATTTCCAAAAATAGGGACTGGTTCAAAATTTCTTCTTCTGTTATTTTTCATTATTTCAATTTCTCCAGCAGAAACTCCAAACATTAACTTTAGAAGTGTTTGTAAAAGCAATTAAACAATATATATATATATATATATTAAAAAATCAATTATTTTTAAAAAGTAAACTAATCAAAACATGCACACTTGATTAATTGATATTGTATCATATCAGCTCTAAGATTAATTACGAAGAGATTCTCATGATTCAAAGTTCAAACATGTCCCAAAAATCATTAAATACATTTTGTCATCTAGAACTGCAGTTTTTCTGTGCACGTAATCAACCTGTTGGAAAAATATACTGTAGCAAGCTTTGAGAATGCCAAAAATATATACTAGTGTACTTTGTGCTCATATATATAGCATTGATTCCCATTTATACTTTGATCTCAGCATGTGATATTAATTAATTCATAATATAATCCGCAAAAACAAGTACAAAATCATAAGTGCTATACATTGATCTTCATATTATACTACTATGTTATACATATAGCTAGCCTTTTCATCCTATATAAAAGAAAATTAGCTCAATGCATCATGATACAAGTATAATTAATTAACGAGGCTACACATAAAAAATCTGATGGTAGAGAGCTTTAGTTTAATATGTAGTCGAAATTATTGAGTAATGATACGTATTATAAAGGAATCACTTGGTCTAATTCGCCAACTTTTCTCTCCCTTTTGAAGTATTTTAGTTTTCTTTGTTGAGTCTTTTATAATGGACTTGTCATATATGCGACAACACTGTTCATTTTCTACAGAGTTTAATTGTTTAGTTTTCCAGTTGTTGTGAAAAGTTTGAAATTTTAAACTTCAGGTTTTCTTCTTTATTTTTTTTTAATCTTCTAATTGGCCATAAATTAAACTTTGATCATACAGAATAATGAAATATTAAAACTACTTGGATATCACTCTTCATTGTAAAAGATGTATGGTCATCAATACACTATAAATTAGGAACAAAACTACAACTTATACATGTTTTAATGTTGAATGAAAGAGATGTTTATTTTTTTATTTTAATATATTGATTTATTTTTATTAGTTAGAATGTAAATACTATAAGGCTTTTATTTGAATGAATATATAATAATAATATTTGGTTTTAACAATAGTAATACTTATAACAATAATATATAATAATAATACATAAGACAACTAATTATGGATCCAAAAGCTATTTGGTATGCCATTTTATAAGGAAGGAAAGGAAAATATTTGTTCAGTAGCCATCACATGTTGCACTTTTACATGAGGTTCATGAAAATATTTATAAAATTTTTAGAAGAAAGACAATGATTGTGAGGGCGAAAATGTGGCAAGAGTTAGGGATGAAAATAAATCATGATTAAATTCGTTTAGCCTAACTTATATTGTACATGACTTGACCCAAGTTTATTTATTAAATAATTTAATTAAATCTAAGATTTTTTCTTAAAATATGTTTAACTGAAAGGGCTAGATTTTAGGTATAATAATAATATTGTCATCAAACCTAATAAGTGAGTCTATATATTAAAGTGAATATGAATAATATATTAATGATGATAATAATAATAATAATAATAATAATAATAATGTTATTACTATTATTTACTTATTAAATATTTTGTGTAATACATATCTTAAAATTTTATAAACTTTTATCTTTTAAAAAAAATTAGACCCATTTATATAAAGGTTCAAGTCTATTAATTTATTAAAAGATAAGAACATTAATTATTAAACTGTTTCAACGACTCGATAATGGACCCCAAAAAAGAAATAAAGACACACCAAGAAAGATTATTAAACAAGTCAAGATTTTCAAAAGACTGACCAAATGGTAAAATAAAATACCTACGATATCGATACATAAGCTAGAATCAAGTAGATCAAATATATTTAAGGTACTTGTCTTTAGTTCAACCAAAATCTAAAAGTGTTCACTTTTAAGAACTAGGAGACACATATATTGAACTAGAATTAAAATTTAATGTGTTTCAACGAATGATTTGAGACTCGTGATCACAATCCAATTGACACGTTAGCACTTAACAAATCTATAATAATGAAAAAGAATAAAACTACTCACATTCATACAACAAGAGACACAAACTAATTCAAATTTTAAAAGGATAGTTATCCCAAGAACATCTACTATTATATTTTATTAAACATTTTCGATTTCTGAAACATTCTTTTAGATTTTTTATATATCTATTCTTTGGAGAAAAAATATTTTTATTTATATATCTATTTAAAAAAAGATAAAATTAATTGTTAGTGTTTTAATTATGCCTTCATCTGTATCTAATTTTTAATATTTTAAAATAATTAAGCCATCACCCCAGAATCAAGGGATAACAATAATTTTTTGATATGATTAAAGATATTAATTATATTTTAAAATATGTGTATTATTATTTTAAATAG